AGGGCCCCCGGCTCAGGGCCTGCACGGGTCCAGCTCAGGACACCTCGTTCTCACCCCCCGGGCCCAGGAGAGGCTCTCTGTGGCCTCACCAGGCTTGGAGCTGGAGCGCGGTGGCACCTGCGGTATGAGATGCCCCTGGCTCCAGGCACCCCCGAGGCCGCGGGGTACAGGTGGGGTGCCGGCCCTGCCCCGAGGGCCAGGGGCCCTCCACACGCCTGCATGGCCCAGGTGCTCCACCAGGTGTACTGCCCCCCCCACCTTAGAGGGTGCCCTGTCGGGGGGGCGGGGCCAGCCAGGCATCACATCGCACTGACATTTATAGAAAGAGCCCAGCAAAGCTCTTGGCTCGGTTTCCCAAAGCGCAGTGTCCTCCGCCAGCCACCAGCGCCTTCTGGGCTGTGTGGAGGTAAAGTGATCAATCTCGTCAAGGTAATTCCCTCACAGGCCCCCGTCCGTCACACCTCTTCTGTTCCTGGACAGGCCACCGCTGTGCTGAGGGGATGAGCGGAGCCCCCTCCAGGCGGGCTCCCCACGGGACCCTCAGAGGGCCTCGCTTGGGGTTTGGGTCTGTAGGCTGAGGCAGGGTGCCCGGACGGGGCTCCGGCTGCCGGGACCCAGCGTGTGAGTGTGGCCGGCGGGAGGGTGTGCCAAACAAATGCTGGACGCCGTGTGTGGCCACCCGGTCTGCGTGTGAATGCCTGCTGGACGGGCGCCCGGTCTTTGAATGAATGCTCACGTGTAGACCACGTGTCCCAGTGTGGGCGGGGCAGCTGCCGATCTGGGCCGGGCGCTGCAGTCACCACAGTGTGTGGACCAAGTGAGCTGCCACCACGGGGCCTCGACCCCGGACCCCTAGGCCCCCGCCCTCCCTCTGTCCTAGTTAAGTGGCCAGTCTGCACAGCTGCTCCCCGTAAGTGCAGTGGCCACTTGGCCTGAAATCGAACAGGTGATGAGCCTCCTCCCAGTGAGGAGCAGGACTCGGGGAGAACAGGAGCCCGGGCGGGGGCTGAGCCGGACGAGGGGCGCAGGGAGGGGTGTGCAGACCCAGGGGCCAGCGGGGCCTCCCACCCCCTCCTCCCTCCAGAGGACTCCCCGAAGTCCTTCCAGGCAGGCAGAGCAGTGGGCTGAGGTCCAGCTGGGGGCCCTGGGAGGTGGGGGGAAGGAGGCGACCAGGTCCAGGAAGGTGGGTGGCCGCCATAGCCCAGGCTGTTTCCTCCCAGCGGCGGCCGGCCCCACCCTCCCCGACTGGCCGGCCATCCAGAGCCTTCACTGTCCCCACCAGCGGGCCTCGGCCGGGAGCGGCTTGGCTCGTGCCGCCTGGGCTCCAGTCCAGGCCGCTCCGCGGGATGGGTTGCCCCTGCTCCCAGACTCCTCCTTCGAACTGCCTCACGGCCGAATCCCCCGGCCGCTCCTCTGCCCTGCCCGACCTCCGTGGTAGTCTGTGTCGGTGGACCTGCAACCTGCCTGGGTTACGCCTGCGCCTTTCCAGGCACAGGAGCCCTGCCAGGCCTGGGGTGTGGCCATTACCGTCTCTCCCCACAGCCCTGGGGACCACAGAGCCATACGGCTATTACTTGGGGCCCAGAGCAGACGCCCTCCCCAGACTCATCCTGGGGACTGCGGGGTCTCGACAGGCTCGGTCTGACGACTGAGTGAGGGGAAGGGAGGCACAGAGGGGCTCCCCTGGGTGGCAAGGACCCCGAGAGGAGGGAGGCCTGCGGACCCGTTCACTGAAATGGGGCTTGCAGCCTCTCCCCCAGCCCAGGGTGCCTGGGACCCCATCTCTGGGCTGAGCGTCCTGTGGCCTCGGCCCAGAACTGCCGTCCCGAGGTTTGAGCTTCCGGCTCAGTGCATTGCTGAGGGCGCCATCACGGTGGTGGCCGGGCCCCTCGCCTTTGGGGTTGATGCGCATCGTGAGGGGAGGTACTTTGAGAAAGTGCGCCGTCACGTGCCCCTTTGAACGCCCCACCCAGTCGCTCCTTTATGTCATTGCGGCTTGCGGCCCCTTGTTCTCTTCATCCACTGTAATGTCACTGCCACTGTTTGATCTGACGATCGAAGGGTCAGACTCGACCCTTTCGCGGGCCGGACGCACCGACGTGGCCTCGTCCCTCTCGGAGCACTTCCTGTGTAACTGCCCGGCTGCCCACACCTCCCCGGCTCCTGGAGTCAGCCGTTTCCCCCAGGAGCCTGGTTCCTTTCCTGTGTTAGAACCAGGGGTGTCAGGTGCGCCCGCTGCTGCTGGGGTGTCGCTGTCCCCAGGCCCTCTCGGAGGGCAGAGCCAGCTGTATGTCCTGAGTACCACGGCTGCCCCTTGACACCTCCAGCCCCAGGCTCCCCGTCTGACCCCACAGGGCCCTTCCTTGGCTGTACCTCCTCTTCAGGGAGGCCTGCCGGGGCCTGCCCTCTCCCCCACCGCTGCCCCCAGCCCCTCCTGGAGGTCGCCCTTGGGTCCTGAGTCTCCACTCCAGGCCTCCTCTCTGCGTGAACATTGGCCTGGCTCTGACCTTGCTCTAGGCCACCCTTCCCCACCCCACTGGGCTAACGCAGCCGGGTTTTCACAATCCCAGGACTGGGCAAGAACGCACGGGCAGTTTCTGTTAGAAGCGTGACAGGTACGTGGCTTTCATAAACGGCGGGTCCTGCACCAGGGCTGTGCCACCCCTCCGGCCTGGCCCACAGTGCCAAGGGGGACTTCCCCCCACCCCGCCCCTCATCCTTGGTCCTCACGTCTCAGGGAGCCAGGCAGCCTCGGTCTGGGCCATGCTGAGATGCAGGTTGACATCGAGGGTCTCTGAGGGGCAGTGTGTGCCTGCCACCTATGTGCATACACTGACCCTTGTGTCCCCTACAGAGGAGGAGGATGTGCTAGCCTTCAACCTGCAGCGCCTGGCCACGCTGGCCTCCGCCTGGTCCCTGGTGGAGGCCGCCGACCTAGACAGCTCTGCCTGCCCAGCCCAGCCCCCTGCTGCCGACCCCTGCAAGGTTCCCGCGCTCACCCCCAGAATGCAGATCCTGCAGCGCAAGGACACCTGGACCCCTAAGACCAAGCCTGTGAGTGGAGGGCCCTGGTCACCCCACTGCCCAGCATCATGAGCGTCCAGGCGGGCTGCCCACATGCCCCGTGGTGGGGGCCCGGCCGGCTCACAGACCCTGGTGCCCCCGCCTGCCAGGTATGCCCACTGAAAGCCGCCATCGACCGGTTGGACACGCAGGAGGTCGAGATGCGTGTGCAGCTGGCGGAGCTGCAGCGGCGCTACAAGGAGAAGCAGCGGGAGCTGGCCCGCCTGCAGCGCAGGCACGACCACGAGTACGCCGGGGGCGCCCGGGGCGGCGGGCAGGGGCCGGGAGGGGCCGGCCCGCAGTGGGGGTGCCCTCCGTGTAGGGGTGCCTGGCCGAGCTGGGCTCTAGGAGGCGTTGGCCCAGAGAGAAACCGAGCGGAGAGGGAGCGGGGTCCATGGGAGAAGCTTCCGCAGAGCCCGTCCTGGGGCAGCGGTGGGAGCGGGGTCGAGCCTGAGAGGGGGCTGGGGGCCAGGGCAGAGCGCGAGACGACTGGAACGGGGGGTGGTGCGGCGGGGACAGGCTCCCCGGGCCAAGACTCGAGAGGCCCTGTCCCCCCCTGGGCCCGGGAGCCGGGGCGGAAGCCCCTGACCCCCCCTCCTTCGGCGCCAGGAGAGATGAGAGCTCGAGGAGCCCAGCGAGGCGCGGTCCCGGCCGGCCGAGGAAGCGCAAGCACTCGGGCTTGCTGCCCGCCCTGCGTCCGGGGGGCCCGCTCCCCAGGGCCGACGGCAAGAAAGTCAAGTGAGTCCTGGGTGCGGGGCCACCACGTGGGGCCTCAGGCCGGCGGCACACGGCGGCGGCTGGGCTGTCTGGCCCCCTCCCTGCTCCTCCTGCTGACCCAGCACTGTCCCCCACCCCCCAGAACTCGGCCCTGGGGCGTGTCCAGCGCAGAGGCCCCTCCCTCCGCCCGTAGTCAGCCCCCGGCCCACCCTGGGCTCCTCCCCTTTGGCGCCCCTGGACCTGGAGCACGGCCACACCAGCTTCGCACACCTGGCCGTGCACCCCCCACCGGCGCCCCTGTTGGCCCCCTCGAGCGCAAGGCAGCGTTGCGTAAAAGCCTCTTTATCTGCAGTGTATGAAGCCGTTGGTCACGCTGCGGTGCTGCTCACGGCTGCCGCGCGATGTTATTATCCATTACGCGCCCGCTGCAGTCGTTGGCGCACTCCCGGGCCTGGTATAATTGTCCTTCCCGGCTACAAATTGCCTCTCCCGGCAGGCCCATTTGCATAAATCCTGCGAGCTCCTCCAAACGCGATTGGCGCACGCCTGTGCGCACTGCATCAATCTGATGATTTGGTAATAATAGTTAAATCGGCACTAAATGGTTCCTTCAATTAAGACAGAGGCAAAAAATTAATCTCAGGGCTTTATGTCACAAAACATTAGCGAATGCAGAGAAGGTTACGGGGAGGGAGAGCTCGCGTCGGCCGCCGCTGCAGCCCGTGGAGGAGACATGCCATATGGCTGGGGGGCCGCCCCTAGCTGTCCCTCCACCCTGCCCAGGTGTCACCCAGCGGGGGGCCCCGGGGTCTTCCTTTGAGGACCAGCCAATGCGCAGGAGCCGCTGGCCAGGGTGGGGCCCGCCGAGGCCAGGGTTTGGCCCTGTCGGGGTGTCCTGGCAAGGGAGCCTGGTCCTGCCTCTTGCACTGGGGCCACCTAACCCAAGGAGCCGGGCCCTGGCTGGAAGGCTGTGGCCTCAGGACAGGCAAGAAAACCAAGTCCAGGCCCTTCTTCCCCAAGAAGTGGGACTCCCTCCCGCCCCCTCTCCGCCCAGTGTGGGGCCCTGCCCTGCAGGGGCTGTGGCAGTTAGGCCCAAGCAGGAAGTGGGAGGGCTGGGGTCCAGGGGCCAAGCATGGCTGCAGGCCGGCTTCTTGCCCACCCTACTCTCTGGGCAGGAAAGTAAAAGGTGGCGACAGGCCACACAAGGCCAAGGCCAGGCCAGGGCCCTCGGCCTCCATCTGTTGACTCATTCCATGTGGGTGGGGGAGGGGGCAGGTGAGTGGCCCAGCCCCCGCCTGGCGAACGACAGGCAGCCAAGCTCCCAGCCTCATACCTGTGGGGCATCATCTGGGTGTTGGGCAGTGGGGTACAGGGTCCCTTCCCTCAGGACCCACAGTTGAGGGCAGAGGATGAAGCTCAGGGGCCTGGGCCCAGCAGTGGGAGTCCCTGGGGGCTAGGAGGCACAGCCTGGGCACGAGTTTCTCTGTCCACTGTCCCCATCCTTCGGGGTGTAGTGGAGATGCTGAGAGAGGACCCCATTTCCAGCACTCACCGCGGGCCTTACTCGGCCTTGCCGAGGGGCACAATGGTCATGGTACCTACTTTCCTGCTGGGAACACCAAGGCCATGGCCCCGGTCACACAGTGGCCCAGCTGGTTGCAGAGCCCTGGCCCCTGAGCCCTGGGCTGCCCCTCCCTAGCCAGTGGGCAGGGAGCTGGCTGGAAGGTGGGTGCCCGGGGACCCTGCTCCCATCTCCCAGCCGCCCTGTGTGCCCCAGGAGCCTCGGCCAGGAGAGACGGGGCAAGGTGGCCTACCAGACTCACGGCTGCACCACAGGGACTGTCAGGGGGTCGAGGCCCAGGGGCCCAGCTGTACCTGCATCTGGCCTGTGCCCACCTCCCACCTGTGTCCCCAGGGCGGTGCGGTCCAGCCTGAGCCTGCTGTGCGCCGAGCTGCGGGGCGGCGAGGCGCCCGCGAAGAAGCGGAGCCGGCTAGAGAAGGGAGTCCACGTGGGCTCCGCGGTGAGTCCCCGCCGGCCCCCACCCCGCCCGCCCCCCACCCCCGCTCGGTGCAGGTGGCTCTGCAGTGAGTCCCTGCCAGCCCCTCCTCTACTCGGTGCAGGGGGCAGGCGACTGGCCGCAGGTGGCAAGCCGGCCCTAAGCCAGTGCCCAGCTGGGGTCCCAGTGTCCAGATGAGCAGAGCAGGGCTAGGCCAGCATCAGGTCCCCCCCGAGACCTGCAGGGTGACTCGGCTGGCTGGGGTCCAGCGGGAGAGGAATGCAGGGGTACGGTGATCACAGAAAGACTTGCAGGGGTGAGAGCCCACGCGGCCACCGTGTTGGCTGCACGCCTGGTGTGGGGGTGGCAGGTGAGGGCATCGGCCCCTCCCCTGGATGGCCCCTCCACAGGAGCCAGCATCCTCTTCCTCCTCGGGCCACAGGCACCTCCCGCCCACTCTTCCAGGGCCCCGGGAGGGACAGGTGCGAGGTGGGTCTGAGCATTGTCACTTTGCCCATCCCTCCCAGAGGAGGGGGTGGCCTCCCTGTCCCCGGCCTGAGTAGGATGGGCAGTCTGGGGGGTGGGGGACGGCCCCTCGGGAGGGCAAGGCCGGGGCAAGTGCCCCGTTCAGGCCTTGGGTGGGGCCCAGTGAGTGCAGCTGCTGCCTGCTGTTCGCAGAAGGTTCGGTGCAAGAAGAGCCGGGGCCAGAGTGAGCTGGCGTCCCCAGTGGCCCACAAGGTGGCCCAGCTGAAGCCAAAGGGTAAGAGCAAGGGGCTGCCCGCCGGCCTCAGCCCGTTCCCGGGGGGGCGTGTCCGGAAGAAGCTGTCCCGAGCCAAGAGCACCAAGGCGTCTGGCGCGGCCGGGCACCCACAGCCCGACGGCGGAGGCGGCGGCAGGGAGGCGCCCACGTTCCCGGCTCAGCCGGCCACGGCCGCAGCACACGAGGCAGGCAAGTCGGTGGTCTGAGCACCACGGTCAGGACCTCCGGGCCACGGTCACTGGGGGCCGGGGGAGAGGGCAGGCAGGGGCTGGGACGGCCACCAGGGAGGCCCTCTGGCTGGTGCAGGCTGGAGAAGGAGACCCCACTCCTGGCAGAGCCCAGCTGCTCCTGTGCCCCACCCCCACGCAGGGCCAAGGGGAGGAAAGAGGGGCCTGCTGGACACGTCCGGGAAAGGGGGCTAAAAATAGCCCTTTTGCCTGCTTCAGCCTCCCTTCCTGCAACGTCCGGCCAGGCTGACCCGCAGGGGTTATCTGGCCCCCAGCAAACACATCCAGAAATGGGAGCCTGGACAAATAGACGCTTCCTCCCACCGGCCCTGGCCCCCTCCCCCAGGTCTCGTCTGAGCAGGAACCGAGGGAGAAGGCGAAGCAAGCGGGAAGCAGGGGGGACCCTGCAGGGCCGGAGGGGGAGGGGGCCGCCCTGGGGAGGGGCTCCCTGCCCAGGGCATAGGAAAGGGAAGCAGGGCGGGAAGGGGAGGTCAGACAGGCTCACCGCTCCCAGTCCCCGGGCAGACACCCTCACCTGGACATCTGGCCCAGGTGCCTGGTCCCCAAAGCAGCCTGGGGAGGACAGTGACGGGGCTCCACTCACAGCCCCCCAACATAGCCACACACACTCGAATGATCAGCTTCTCTGACCTCACTCCAAATGGCGCTGCTGTGACGCCCGGTCATCTGGCTCCCTCCCTCCCCAGGCAGCGGCTATGACAGCGAGAACTGCGAGGGTCCCTTGGGGACAGAGGCAACCCCTAAGGAGCCTGGGCTGGCACTGCACGCTGGGGCCGGCGTGGCCGTGCTGGGGCCCTCACCCTCTTCCGTGGTCAAGATGGAGGCCAACCAGAAGGCCAAGAAGAAGAAGGAGCGGCAGAGCTTGCTAGGTACGCGGGCGGCAGGGGCGGCTGCAGCAGCTCGGCGGCCAGGACCCCTGCAACGGCCGCCGCTCCCCCCCACAGGGGCCTGCCGCCTGTCCAGCCCAGAGAGCGAGGTCAAGATCAAAAGGCGGACGGTGAAGGCCAAGGGGAGCACCAAGCTGGAGCAGGCCCCGGGGCGCAGGCCCCCCGGAGCTCCAGGCAAGAAGAAGGCCAAGGGCAAGGCCAAAGGCGGCCTTCGGGCGGAGCCAGGGGCCACCCCGGGCAGGGACGCCCTCTTCAGCCCCACCCGGGCCTTCGCCTGCCGGGAGGAGGGCAGCAGACTGGCCAGCGAGCGCCTCAAGAGAGCCACACGCAAGAGCACGATGCTGCAGCCAGGACTGCGGGTGAGAGCCAGCGGCCCCTCCAGCAGCGGGCACTTCGGGGTCCTCAGTCGCCCAGGGCCAGTGGGCACCCAGGAGTCCTGGGCCCAGTGCAGTGGGTGCCACCGAGACAGGCCTCCGGGGCCCTCACTGCTTCCCGGTGCCCGGGTCAGCCCTAGTCGCCCTGGGCTGCCGCGGGTGGGGAGGCCGGTGCCACCCTCGCTACTGTCCCTTTCCACCACCCACAGCGGAAGAACGGGGCCCTGTCCATTGCCCTGTCACCCCGCAACGCCAAGGCCATCCTGGGGAAGGGCAGGAAGGCGGGCAGGATGACAAGCAAGGCCGCCGGCAAGCAGGTAGCATCCCCACCCCACCCCGCCCCTGGAGCCCCCCGCCTCCCCAGGGAGCTGACCCTCTGGCCCCCCAGGGCAAGGGCCGGGCGGTGAGCCGGCTGTTGGAGAGCTTCGCCGTGGAGGACGACTTTGAGTTTGATGACAGCAGCAGCTTCTCCGAGGACGAGGAGGGGGAGGAGGCTGGCGGTCCCCTGAGCGCTGAGCAGAGCGCTCCTCTGGGTGAGCAGTGGGTGGGGCCGGGCGCCTGGGGAGGGGGGAGAGCGGGGGCGGGACAGGCACCTGGGGAGCAGTGGGGTGGGCTGCTGCTGACTGCCCTGTCCCCCAGCGCGCTCGTGCACCATCCACAAGGAGGACCTGCAGGACGGGCTGCCCGTGCTCATCCCCAAGGAGGACAGTCTGCTGTATGCGGGCAGCGTCAGGACCCTGCAGCCCCCCGACATGTGAGGCCAGGCTGCGGGCAAGGAGGGACACGCCATGGTGGGCTGTGGCTGTGGGCCACAGGCTGGTCTCACGCCCCCATCCCCTGTGCCCCTCAGCTACAGCATCGTCATCCAGGGCGAGAGAGGCAACCGGCAGAGGGTCTACTCACTGGAGCAGCTGCTACAGGAGGCGGTGAGGGACAGTGCCTGGCCCTCAGCCCCGGGGAGGTGGGCCTGGCTGCACCCCGTTCCTCCTGGGTGCCCCCCCGCCCTGCCCGCTCATGCTCCCACCCTGGCTGTTCCCACAGGTGCTTGACGTTCAGCCGCAGTCCAGCCGGTACCTGCCACCTGGCACAAGGGTCTGTGCCTACTGGAGCCAGAAGTCTCGTTGCCTGTATCCAGGGAACGTGGTCAGAGGTGAGCCATGCCCAAGGCCCCCAGTGGGGCTGGCCAGCCCTTGCCCTCAGGGGAGGGGGCACAGCCCTGGTCCTGGAGGTCATGAGCTGGTCACATGGGCACCAGCTCCCCTGGGGTGAATCCTGTCCCCCCGCTTCCCCCAGGCAGGGGATGTGGGGCCCCTGGGCTCTGACAGGCGGGGAGGGGGGACGGGTGCAAGGCCTCCAGGCGGGCCTCAGCCAGATGTGCATCTGCGCACACGTGCGTGGGGAGGAGCCGGCCCCGCATCCCGTGTGTGCCCCGGGGTGGGGGTGATGGATGGCCATAATATTGCGGCTGTAGCCGCACTGCAGGAGGCGGAGGGGGCTGTGGCAGCTCCAAGGTCGAATACGATCACAGAGCAGATCGTCCTAGTGTCATTTGTCAGGCACCCCCCCCGGGAGTCCCTCCTGTCAGGTAGAGGGGCCCTGAGTGCAGGGCTGCAGGCTCAGGGGGGCCCCGTCCCCAGGCGCCTCCAGTGACGAGGAGGAGGACCTGGACTCCGTGGTGGTGGAGTTTGACGATGGGGACACTGGCCACATCGCCGTCTCCAACATCAGGCTGCTGCCTCCGGACTTCAAGATCCAGTGTGAGCGGGGGTGGGATGGGGGGCTGGGCCCTTCCCCTTCCCCTCCCCCTCCCCCTTCCCCTCCCGGCCCGTCAGCCCCAGGCCCAGCCCGGCGGGCCTCTGCTGGGTGCAGGCAGGCTCCCCAGGAAAAGGCAGGAGGAGGCGGTCACCCCGGCAGCACAGCACTGAGGCCACTCGTCCACTCTGCAGGCACAGAGCCCTCGCCGGCCCTGCTGGTGTCCAGCAGCTGCCGGAGGACCAAGAAAGCTTCCTGCGAGGCACCCCCACCCAGTGAGCCCACCGCCCCCAGCCTGCCCCCCAAAGTGCACGACAGCCCCGAAGCCTCGAAGACCCCTGGGAAGAAATCCGTCAGCAAAGACAAAGCCGGTACTCAAGGGACCTCGAGAACCGGGTGCGGAGGCACCCTGGGGGTGAGGGGCCGCGAGGGGCCCAGGTAGCATCTCTGACTCTACCTGGCCGCTCCCCCAGGCAAAGCGGAGCTCCTCACCTCAGGTGCCAAGCCCCCCGCGGGGGCCTCAGACTACTTCCTGGGCCGCCGGGGCAGCCCGCTGCTGAGCTGGTCGGCGGTGGCACAGACGAAGCGGAAGGCCGTGGCGGCGACGGCAGGCGGCAAGGGGCCCGGCGTGCTGCAGAGCCTCTTCCAGCTCAACGGCAGCACCAAGAAGCTGCGGGCCCGCGAGGCGCTGTTCCCCGTGCACAGCGCGGCCGCGCCCGTGTTCGGCAACGGCTTCCGCGCCGACTCCTTCAGCAGCCTGGCCAGCTCGTACGCGCCCTTCGTCGGCGGGGCCAGCCCGGGCCTGCCGGGGGGCGCCCACAAGCTGCTTCGGGCCAAGAAGGCCGAGCGAGCGGAGGCGGAGAAGGGCGGGCGGCGGCGGGCGGGCGGCGAGTTCCTGGTCAAGCTGGACCACGAGGGAGTGACCTCCCCGAAGAACAAGAACTGCAAGGCGCTGCTCGCGGGCGACAAGGACCTGGGGCCCAAGCTGGGACGCCCCCTGCCCAGCCCCAGCTACGCGCACCCGGCCCTCATGGGCAAAGACAGGAAGGGGCGGGCGCCTGTCCACCCACTGCCCATGGGGCTGGCGCTGCGTAAGTTTGCGGGCCAGGCTGAGTACCCGCTGCCCTGTGACAGTGACTGCCACAGCTCCTACTCAGACGAGGAGGAGGTCGGGCCCGGGCTGGCCCCCGGAGTGCCCTCCCGCTTCCTGGCCCGCCTGTCTGTGTCCTCCTCGTCCTCCGGCTCGTCCACCTCCTCCTCCTCGGGCTCCTTGTCCACGTCCAGTCTCTGCTCCTCCGACGACGACGGCTCGACCTACAGCTCGGACGACGAGGACCGGGCGCTGCTGCTCCAGACCTGCCTCACCCACCCCGTGCCCACCCTGCTGGCCCAGCCCGAGGCCCTGCGCTCCAAGGGAAGCGGCCCCCACACACACGCCCAGCGCTGCTTCCTGTCCAGGGCCGCTGTGGCCGGCGGGGCTGCGGGCTCGGGCCCCAGCGGCGGCAAGTCCAAGCTCAAGCGCAAGGAGGCCCTGAGCTTCAACAAAGCCAAAGAGGTTTCGCGGAGGCAGCGGCTGCCGTCCGTGGAGAACCGGCCAAAGATCTCTGCCTTCCTGCCCGCCCGGCAGCTCTGGAAGTGGTCAGGGAGCCCCACGCAGGTGAGTGGGCAGCGGGCGGCCAAGCGAGGATCCCAGTGCCCCAGGAGGCTGGCCCCTGCTCCCGCCTCCCCTCCCTCCCTCCCTCTCTTTTGGAATTATTCCGTTCAATGTCCACAAAAAACTGGGAAACTGCAGGGAAGGACGAGGCGCCCACCATGATCCAACGATGCAGGGCCACCGTCCGGGTCCTAGCCTGTGCGGTGTGGTCACGGACGCGACTGCACCACGGCACGTGTATCCCCCGCACCTGGCTTCGCAGTGCCACGCGGGAGGGTCACCCTGGTGTCTTTCCACGTGGCTGCACAACACAGCGGTCCCATGGACGCAGACGCGTCTCTGCGTGGACGGCCTGCGGTGGACACGTGGTGGTTCACGCTTTCGGCCTTGTGCACCGCAGTGAACATCTCACGGGTGTCCGGCCTCCCTGCCCTCAAAGCCAACGCTCCTTTAGAGCCGCTTACGATGACGTCATGGCCGCTGTGCAGGGCCGACCGCCCTGGACCTGCCCTGTCTTACCCGCGAGGTGCCCCCGCCCACATATCCGCACACAAGACCGTCCTCTGCCATTGTCCCTCGCGCACCTCCCCCACCGCCCCGCCCGGGCCCCCTCAGCGCGCCTCTGCCCTGCTTGTCCCCGCTGCAGAGGCGCGGCATGAAGGGGAAGGCCAGGAAGCTGTTCTACAAGGCCATCGTCCGGGGCAAGGAGACGCTGCGCGTGGGCGACTGCGCCGTCTTCCTGTCGGCCGGCCGCCCCAACCTGCCCTACATCGGCCGCATCGAGAACCTGTGGGAGTCCTGGGGCAGCAACATGGTGGTGAAGGTCAAGTGGTTCTACCACCCCGAGGAGACCAAGCTGGGGAAGCGGCAGAGCGACGGGAAGGTGGGGGCCCGGGGTGCTGGGGGACCTAGGGGTGGGGCCTGGGGCTGGGTGGGCAGCAGCCGGAACAAGGAGACCAGTCCTCTGGGAAGGCCCGCCTCCCCCACGCCGCAAGACCCCCC